TTAAAATACTTTTGTGTTTTAATCTAAGATTTATTCACTGATAATTAAGTCTCTAAAATATCATTATCTTTGACTTTGATATTATCCATCTATTGATCTTTGAATTTGGCCCAATATAAACAGACTAGCTTTAACACTTCATATGCATAATGAAATCTTTAGTCATAGGGTAGCTACTATCAACTGGTCATATCACCTGCCTCTCTGTCAATGTTTCTTATTCCATTCAAAAAGGCATGACCATATAAACAACTTTAACTACCTACTTATAGTAGTCTATCTAAACCTTACCAATAGGTTTGGTTTCTTTGTTCATAAAGGTGTAAGCAACCAAAGGGAACGACTCGAGAGACGATCTATAGGGGTTCAAATATAGAGGGAAAGGGCCTATGAATAAGAGTGCACCCCCTTTTCCAATCGGTTAAGGGTCTTGGGATATTTGGGGTTAAGCGTCATTGGGTGTGAATAGTACTGGGCTGGGTAACCTCCCAGGAAGTCCAAACTCAGGAGCTTACATTTGGTATCAGAGGGGTCTCGGGTCCGACTCTGTTGGTTGGCTAAGGGAATCGCACCACATGTTGATTGACATCTGGCTGGTCCAGTTTGCTCCCGCTAGGCTCGACCCGAGGGGTAGGGTGTCAAGAGAGCGGGGCTCTCGGGAGAGCTGCGGCTCTCAGCTTCCGTTCACGAGGGCGTGAACTTGCAAGGAAGCGTGGTGGATTGTAAGCAACCAAAGGGAACGACTCGAGAGACGATCCATAGGGGTTCAAATATAGAGGGAAAGAACCCATGAATAAGATGCACCCCCTTTTCCAATCGGTTAAGGGTCTTGGGATATTTGGGGTTAAGCCCCCGCTCTCGAGAGAGCTGCGGCTCTCAGCTTCCGTTCACGAGGGCGTGAACTTGCAGGGAAGCGTGGTGGATTGTAAGCAACCAAAGGGAACGACTTGAGAGACGATCCATAGGGGTTCAAATATAGAGAGAAAGAGCCCATGAATAAGAGTGCACCCCCTTTTCCAATCGGTTAAGGGTCTTGGGATATTTGGGGTTAAGCGTCCTTGGGTGTGAATAGTACTGGGCTGGGTGACCTCCTGGGAAGTCCAAACTCAGGAGCTTACAAAAGGTTGGGGCCTTTAGCTTCTCTCTCCATGTCTTTGCGGCTTCTCTCTCCATGTCTTTGCGGGCAAGGGCATATCACATTTTTGTAAGTTGGGTGATATCCAAAGCAACAAGGGTGGCTAAGTCCATTTGGTCATTTCCTTGTTAATGACAGCCGAAAGGTGTTTGAGTTGGTAACACATTTGCATTAGACAAAAAAGTTATCTTAACTCATTTAAGTTGTGCATTTCTTACATAATGTGATCACTGTCAACTTTTTCTAGAGTTTTTTTCTTAGTGGTGGTTTAGATTAGAGTATGCATCGATAAGGACATCAATCTTCCCTAAGGGGGAGAGAGTATTGCGAATGTGATTACGGGTATTGAAAGTTACTTATTAGTTAGTCTTTTCGGTTACTACTATGACAATAGGAGGTCCGTAATGTTGGGCTTTTTATTAATCCCTCTTGTTTAAGTGTTAGTAAACTTGATTTAACATTTATATTTGGTCAAACGAGCATAAGGAATTCCTAAATGTCTATTTAACTAAACATATTTAACCTGGCTTGTTAGTTCTTTTTTGCTTTATCCTACATTAGCTTGACAAGAAACCTTGTGATATTTAATTTGGTCTTTCAATATTGTTAGATGATAGATTATTGTGTTTGCCAAACACTCTTGATATCATGCCCTCCTATTCAATTCTAATTTCTATTTATAAAAAGTGTTTAGATTTGTTAATTTAGCATATCTATAAAATATAAAGATTGTCCTAAACACACTAGTGTTAATCTCATATCCAAATTCACAATCTAATGCCATTTCATATTTAATAAGTTTCAAACTTATCTTAGAGACTAACTCTTAGTACTAAGGGTCAAGGTTGTGGGGGGTTTTAAATGTATAATAAGCATACACAAAGTTGGCATATGAGGGAAACTTTACCAATGTCAAATGCACTTGCCGCCCAAAAAAAAAGAGCTCACAACCACTCCTAAATGACATGGGAGCTTATGGCAGCCTCAATAGGCAGCGCTCCAGCAGTATGGTTGGGCTGCACAGCACCCAGCGATAGTGCTAAGCAGCACTCAAGCAACCTGGGTGATGCTCACAGTGCCCATCACAGCGAGATGAGACTTTGCATGTACTCTCTACCAGCAATCTCAAAATCAAGTTCAATAAAATCAAGGATCAAGGCTTACATGATTGCTTGGACGTCATCCTGGACAATAGCAAAAGGAAGTGGAGTAGATGTATCCAAGTACTGCTTGCAAATTGACTTCTTTTGAAAATTTGACATCCTTAATTTTCTGATTAGCTTTTCATGGTGATAAATGTATGATTGGCAACTCTGCATATCAATTTTGTCTTTGAATCTGCACTCGCACCTGCTGATAGGGCCTAAACTTGCCACCAGGTGGAACTCCCGGTGGCCCATGGGAGCTCCACTACTGTTTAGATTCCTTTCAGCTGAATATATATATATATATGGTTTGTTTCATGGATGCAATGTATAATCATTACAAATTACATAATTAAACTCCTTAATTCTCTTGTATAGGTGCAATCGAGGGCGAGTCAAAGTCTCTTCCAGAAACTGATAGATCATGGAAAGTCGGTCAGTTGAATTTTCACGTTCAACAGGATCATATACGTATCATATACGTAGCAAATACGTAATTGCAATGCGAACAAAACTGTGCTCTAGATTTTCAAAAGTTGTGATATAACCCAAGGACTTCACTCGCAACCCCCCCGCTATATAAATGCACCCCGCCTCTCCATTCAATCAAACACTGCTCAGCTCTATCCATAGTTAAAGTGCTGCTTTTTGCAATGGCATCCCTTCGTGCTTTCACTGCTTTCTTCTTGTGCATGCTCGTTGTTGCAATCGTGGAGCACGCCAATGTGGTGGAAGCTCAGGCAGCGTGTGCAACCCGTCCCTGTTGCGGTCGTCAGGGTGGAGGAGGCCGCTGCAACCCGGGCCTGTGCTGCAGCCAGTTTGGCTACTGCGGATCGACATCTGATTACTGTGGTGAGGGCTGCCAGCGCGGCTATGGGAGATGCAACTAAATATTCCATCTAATGTGCTAGACACCTGCAACATGAAAGTTGCGAATAATATCTAAATAATCACTGGTGTCCTCTATTCTCCTTTTATATATATGGTGTAATGTTTGCTATGTTACCAAGCTGAACGCATTAAGCATCTCATCCAATGCAATCTCCTTCGTCATGACGCCCAATGCGCTGCAGGTTAGTGTGGTGGATTCCTTCCACTGCATGGATTGACTTTTTATTCAGGGCTTCAATGTAGAAATCGCAGTGATCTGTTGGGTGCTAAAGCAGCAGCATCCTCTCTTTGCATCGGCTGTTTTTTTAAGGCAGACTGTAAGAATCTATAATGTTCATGGTCGTAACATGTTATGAGGCACTTGAGCATTGCTATCGCACTAGCTTATCTCTTAGCTGCGTAGCTAAGAAAGAAGTTGAGTCCAACCAGAAGGACTGGGCTGTGATTCACATAATAAACATTTTGGTTTTACCAAGCAAGGTTGGCTCTATCACTTGTGATGCACAGCCGTCTGGGAGCTATATCTAGAGTGGTAGGATTGTAGTTGCAATGGTTTCAATGCCAATATATTTTATTTGATGATATTACTATGACAACAAGAGATTGGCGATTGTTCATGGGGCTGATTCAAATTGCCAGGCATAGAACTGACAGGAGTGGATTTACTGGAATACAAGCTTCTTATAAAATTCATACACCGGCAATAACGTGCAATAAAAAGGAATCAAGACTCAAGAATCTAACACAAATTCTAGCTTACATCTAGGCCATGATCTTCTTTTGTTTTCCAACTTCAGTTAATAACTTGCATTCATCTTTGAGGAATTACAGCTTGCTTTTGAGACTGGAAGGGAGAGCACAGCTCCAAGGCCTAGGAATCCTGTGCTGGTGGCACATGATCCTGAGCCACCATGGCATGCTCCGCCATTGGAAGGAGAGAATTGCGAACTGGAAGGAGTGCGAGAGAAATAAAAGCTGCAATGGATAACCGTTGAAAAACCACACATCCAACCTTCTAAAGTCTCTACTGCCACAGCTTTATGACCAGACTGGCATCAGTTTTTTGACATTTGAACTTGCTACAGTGGCATCTTGCGGCTGCAACGGACAAAAAAAAGAATCAGAAACACAAGAACAAGAAAACAAGGCTAGAAACTGAAAAACAAAACTGGAAACCAAACTTCTATCTTCTACCTTATTTTGACAGTGCTTGTTCCATGTGAAGTGTGAAAGTTTAATTACCCAAATAGCAGCACACACACACACACACACACACACACTCTCTCTCTCTCTCTCTCCAAGTTTGTGAATGGCATCTGTTCGATTTGGAGCTCTCACTGCTCTCTTCCTGTTCGTGCTCGTTATCGTAATGGCCAGTGTCATGGTGGAAGCTCAGGGAGAGTGCGCAAACGGGCCGTGTTGCGGTGCTCAGGGTGGCGGAGGCGTCTGCACCTCGACCCTGTGCTGCAGCCAGTTCGGCTTCTGCGGATGGTCGAGTGATTTCTGTGGAGCGGGCTGCCAGAAGGGATACGGCAGCTGCAACTAACACCAAAGTTTGCCAGAAACTAGTTTCAATCTGTAGCCACTCTCGCCACTCTGGATCAATAAGTCACATGGCCATGTTTCCATTGATTCCTCAGGAAACAGGCACTTGATCAATTTCCAAATATTACATGTTTTAGTAGATCCATGAAAAAGGGCGAAAGGTGGTGAATCGAGATTAGGGCTTGTTTGGCCTTTAATACATCTAAAACAACGTTTCTTCTAGAAAACGCCACACTCGCCTTCCAAGACTTTAGTTCAGAAGCTCTTGAGAAGTTTCTCTTGACTTGATGTCAAACCATCCACGCAACTTTGCCTAGCAACAAAACTGCGCAACTTAGCAAGCGCAAACAGACCCAGAAAAGAGTCGCAACGAGGAAGAGAGATCCAGAGATGAAGCAAGCCCTGGTAAAGTAAAAGAAAATGGTAGCAATGAGGAAGAACAAGGGCCATGTCGTCGCAGTACCTTTCCCGGCCCAAGGCCATATGTCGCCAATGCTCCATCTTTGCAAGCGCATCGCGGCCGATGGCTACCGCGTCTCGTTCGTCAATCCCAGCAGCATACACGAGCAGATGGTCCGCCACTGGAAGCCATCGCCAGGCCTGGACATCCACCTGGATCAGCTCCCATTCTCAGTCCACATCCCCCACGGCATGGACACTTACGCAGCGCTCAACTTGAGCTGGTTCTTCGACGAGCTCCCCACCATGTCCGCCTCGCTCGCCGAGCTCCTCCACAGATTCTCGGACGAGGGAGCTCCGGCTTGCTGCATCATCTCGGATATCTTCCTGCCGTGGACTCAGGACGTCGCCAACGAAGCTGGAATCCCGCGAGTTGTCCTCTGGGCGTCTGGTGCGACGTGGTCGGTGTTCGAGACCTATGCAAAGGAGCTGTCAGAGAGAGGTCACTTGCCATTGAAAGGTAAGCAAGCACTTACCTTTGGGGAGAAAGCTCTGGACCGGAACGTAACGTTGGCTGTGTTTGCAGACTCGGATGTTTTCGATGATAGCTGCACCATCGACTATCTTCCGGGAGTCACTCCGCTTCCAGCATCCGCCATCCCGTTTTACATGAGAATCACCGAAAAACGCTGGGTGGAGCTCATACTAGAGAGGTGTGAAAGCATCTGGCGTCGAGAAACTCCGTGGATACTTGTCAACTCTTTCTACGAGCTGGAGCAGATCACTTTCGACTCGATGGTTAAGGAGTTTGGCGAGAACTACGTCCCGATCGGCCCACTGTTCTTGCGTGACGGTCGTGACGGTGAGTCGGCAGGGCCCGAAAATGTCTTGCTGCGCGACCAGAGTATGGAATCGCTGGAGTGGCTCGACCAGCAGAAGGAATCGTCGGTGCTCTACATATCCTTCGGTAGCATCGCCGCTCTTAGCAAGGAACAGTTTGAAGAACTGTCTGGAGCTCTTGAGGACTTGCAGCAGCCGTTCCTGTGGGTAGTGCGGCCGGAGCTCTTCACAAACTTCACGCCGGAGTTCCAAACTTCATATGCGAGCTTCTGCGAGAGGACCAAGGCGCTGGGAATGGTGATACCTTGGGGAACACAGCTGCAAATCCTACAGCACCCGGCTCTTGGAGGATTCCTCACACACTGCGGCTGGAACTCCATCATTGAGAGCATTGCCAATGGCGTTCCTATGATTGCTTGGCCGTGGGGAGCGGAGCAGAACACCAACGCCAAGCTCATAACAGTCGACTGGAAAGTTGCCTCCAAACTTCCAACCAGGGGTTACTTCGAGCTCGTCCCGAAGTCCGAGATTGCCAAGGCCATCAAAGCCGTGACGGACGACGGGCAGGAGCGGGCTGTCCTCCAAGAAAACGTACAGCGTCTGAAGAAGCTGGCCAGGAAAGCCATTCTCGACGGAGGGCAGTCTTTGTTGAATCTGGAGAAGTTCCTTGACCAGATCGGTCAATGGGCTTCTTGAAAGCTGTTCTCGATACGTTCTTCGCTGACCAGCGAATAATAGCTTGTTGCATTCAGCTGGCCACTGCTCTCTCCCTCCCCGTGTCTGTACCGTCCTCCCTGTGTGACGGCGCGAAGTCGAGTCAAGTGAACTGTCCATTTAGTTGAGACTTTCAGCCCTGTACGACCTTGGCCGCAGCAGCAGTGTCGCATTCGGCGGCAGCGCTGCCGACCTTTCTTTCCCCATAACTGTGCAGAACCTTGAGCAGCTTCACAGCTTTGCGCCTCGCCCTCTGCGTGCAATGGCTCTGGAGCAGCAGCAGCAAGGACGTCGAAGCCCGCGCTTGAAAGGCCATCTCCAGTGCCTCCTCATTGCTGTCCAAAGGAGTGCTGGTGTCGGTGCAAATAACGGAGCACAGCACCCCCGCTGCGTACTCCGTCCCACGGTCCGACACCCTGAGAATCATGCTCAGTAGCAAAGGAATCGCCAGCGCGTGGCGCAGGATTGCCGCTCTTCCCTCCAAAGTCGTCGACAGCAGCTCCAAAGTTGCTAGGATCCTCTCGGAAGTCACCCCTTTGGCTTCCGTGAGCAGCTCCAGCAAACTTGCCACCACCCCTGCCTTGACTGCTGCCACCCGGTTGTCCTTGCTCAAGCACAGCGCTAGCAACGCCTTCACCCCACACTTGACAAGCTGCTCTTCACGCTCGCTCAAGAGTCCCACCACAGCTTCCAAAAAACTCCCAGCGTCTAGCGTATCAACCTGCTGTTCTTCGCTTTGAGAGACCGCCGAGAGCATGACTAGAAGCGTCGTAGCCGCCACCTTAGACGAGCTTGGACCTGTTCGAAGGAGCCGCTCTAGCACCGAACTAATGCCTGGAGCCCGAGCTATTGCTTCCAACACTAAGTCGCTACTACTAGAAAGAGTGACGAGCAAACTAAACACTACATCCAATACCTCCGCAGACTTATCTATATCGTTGCCCTCGTCCGACACCAAGAACGCCACAAGCTCGCTGTGGAGTCCCATCTTCACCATCGTCTGTCGATTCCGCGATGAAACCGCCAGCGAGCTCAGCGATCTTAGCGACTGTGACGAACAGCACCTGGAGCTTATGACATCCCTGACAAGATCCTCCAGAGACCGTGGCTGCTGATGCTTCTCTAAACATCCCAGTTCCTGGATTCTTACCCGTGGCGATTCTACGCGAGGACTGATCACATCGATCGTGGCCAAGTACCGACTGCCGGCATTGCCCCTGACGCTGCGATTGTGTAATTTGAGGGCAAGCTCCCATTGTGTCGAGCTCGGCACTCTCTGGAATCTCCTGTTGCATTCTTGCCTCTCTGCCGCCTCCGCCGCGACCCTATTCTCTTTGTCATCGCTGCAAGAGGAGGCGATCGTCGTGGTCGCTACCGATGACGCCGATGAGGAGCCGCGATCCTGCGGCAGAGCTGGAGATGGCGTGCAAGGGCTGAGAACCACATCCGAGCACGCGCCAAACATCCCGCACGAGAAAATCTGCGCTGGCTTCACATATTTCAGCCGCGGATGATGCCGCCGCAGCTTCATCGATGCGCCTCGATCAAGCACAAAGATCGAAATCTATCGGCGCCGAAAGGAAGATCGAAGCGCGGAAGGAGAAGAACCCTGACAGACCTAGCCCGATCGAAGCGCCGCGGATGATTGCTGGATTCCCCCTCGCATTTCTCTAGAACCCTGGCGGTATTCTCTGGCGCGCGCCAATAACCTGAAACCCTCCACCATTCGATCAGTCGATCCAACGGCAGCGGCGGCCCACCACGTGGCAATCAAACACATTTTGGAATCCGAGCCGTTAAAACCCCAAAATGCAACGATCGCGACCGTCCATCTGGCATTCTGTTCACACGAATAAGCGTGGCTCTCAATAAATGGGCCCGAGAAAAGAATACAGGAGAAGAACGTTGATTCAAACCATAGACAATTTGGCGGTTAGCTGACTCTTTGACCGCCCGCCTCGAACGAATATTCACGCCAGGTGTACGGGCATATCCCATGCCTTTATTGCCTACACGGAGCTTTAAGGCAGCGTGCCAAAAATTCGATCCCAGAAATTCGAAGTTATGCCAAAGCCTACTGTCTGGTTCTTGAAGTGATGATTCAAATGGTACCTCTGGAAAAATCAATCTTTGGATGAGCGATCGAAAGATATGGTGGGAAAAAATGATTTTTCTTACCTTGAGCCTTCTACTCCATTGATCGAAGGCGACTCCATGGTGGAGAAAGTAGTGTGTAACGTCGTAGATCACGTAGCCGAGGATCCCTCCTCCCAGGATCGTTGGCGCCATTTCACGAGGAGCTAGCGACGCGATGATCGGCCAGAACTGGAGAGCAAAGCGTGGATCGATCGATAAGTTCGTGATAGATCATCAAAAGTTTTTGGAGAACTTTGCTTACGATCGAGAGAAACCCGAGAGTGGCCGCTGGAGGAAACACTAGCCGGTACCCGTCCATTGGATGCTTGTGGTGGCAACCATGAAGGAGATAATGGAATGTGTTCGACCTGCGAGATCCAAAGTTTCAAAGTTGGCCTCGAGAAAAATGGAAAAAGATCATAAGCGCTCTTACCAGTAGCCTGATGTTTTGACGTGAAAAAGAAATCGATGCATGCTATACTCGAGAAGTGACCAGATAATCACTCCAGAGATCAAGCACGAGACAATGCTTTGCGACTTTAGGCCTCTTTGAGATGACACAAGTAGAAGCCAGCATATAAATGGAAGCCAAACCAGCGGGATCACCCACCAGACTGTTCGTGTCAAAGACTGGAACCAAAAGAAGAACTTGAGCTTGAAAGTTTCGGAAGATCGCGTACCTCGAGGATCTGGTTCTCGAAAAACCGAGGGCTCTCTTTGCAAACGATAGGCTGGTGCACCCATTTCTCGTAAGCGTCTCCGAGGTGACCGACCTGAGAGACGAGAGGTTTGCTCAAATCGACTGTGAAGCCTCCAGTCTTTGGTTTTGTCTCTGAATCCTCGGAGTTCTTCGATCTATACAATCGCAGAAGTTTGAAGTCCCAACTTATAGAAGAAAAACCAAAGAACACTCGAGAAAACCACACCTGTGTTGCGAATTCTCAAGAATTCCAATGTGGAACTTCTCCAAAGTATCGAATGCGGCATCGCTGTGAGAATGCGCGGCCGGATCGTCGGAGCCCCTCATCAAGCTTCCAACATTGTCACTGTCAAGGCTCTGGGAAATTATCTGGAAAAACCATTATAAGGTTCCATCAAACAGTTCCTAGCTACTGGGAATCAAATCAAACTCTTACCTGTGGGCCTCCCGGATGATCATCTAGGAACTGTGTCACATCGTAGACCTGGCCATCGACAATAATCCACGCATCGCCGGCGGATCTGTGCTTGCGGACGTCCGCCAAGCTCCACACACCCATTGACCGATCGATCGACCGATCCAATCGATCGATCCAGCGCCGGGAGGGATCGCAATGTAGATCTATCGCTAACAAGATCGAGCGTCGCTCACACACTCCCACCGCATCGGGCAAAAAGCCTTTCCGACACAAATCCTGACGAAATGGACGGCTCAGATTGAGCCCTAAACTAAAAGGGTAGAGAAATTTTTGCTCTATAATCCTTCTTGGACTATGCCGTAGAAACCAAAACTTTGCTTGTGCTGGATGGCGATGGCGGTAGCGAGCCTATCAACACTGTCGATTCCTCGGCCGAAAATTCATAAGATACTGGAGAGTCCAGCACAGAATATGGAAGAACCGCCATTGTCTTCTCCAGCAGCTCGGAAAAACTCTGGAAATCTAGAACTCAGGACGAAGCGCAAAGAAAAGGATGAAAGAGTATTGCTTGCCTTTGCGTGCCGGACATGCTCGTCAATCGCTTGCCTCCACCTTGACGATCCTTTCTCGCCATGGAATAAGTTGGCGACCGGCTGAAACCATTCTGGTGTCAATCGAATTGTTTTCTGGAGTGATATAGTTACCTTCACTAAAACCCGGATTCCTGGCTTGTTGTTCCCGTACTTTCCAATGACGGACTCTGCGTACTCTTCATACTCGCGTAAAACCTGCACACTAAGACGAAGTTTTGCATCACTCCAAACGACGAAGAATTGCGAAGATAACTCCGATTGATGGAGATGAAAAGAAATATGCAATGAATTCTACCTGACGACGTGTGATTCGTCTCTCGGGCATTCCGTAAATACAACTATCCGCTCTAGCCAAGGTGCACCATGGTCTGAGAAAGCCAAAGATTAAATCAAGGATTGATCTAAGTTTCTCTCAAACTTACGTGTTATATGCCGCACGGCCAAGCATCACTCCGTTTACACCTTTATCAGTTATGAGATAGTTCACCTAGAAACACACCTTAGAGCTTTCGTAAACATGGAGGAAACAATGTAGTACCTGCTCAACCGTGGTAATGCCACCGTTTAACGTGAACTGAAGATCAGGAAAATCTCTCATCAACGCAAGAACATACTCGTATCTGCGATGAAAGTCGTAAATCTTTGTTTGTGTTCGTCTGAACGAAGCATACTCACTTCAAGGGAGGAGCAACACGGTTCTGTGCTGGACTGAGGCCTTCCAGCAACGCTTTGCGAGCATGTATGATAAAATGTCGAGTTGGAGAAAGTGATGAAACTGTAGAGACGAAGTTACCTGCAGACACAAGGTCAAGCTAGGCAAAAGATTCAAAGGGCTTGTTACAAAGTTGGTCATATGAGTCTGAATCGTCGACGCCTATCCTACACTTAACAGTAACCGGAGCGGAACTTTCTTCCGCAATGGCTTGCATTGCTTCCCCGACTAGCTGAGAAAACGATCAAAACTGAAGCAAAAGAAAGAAAAAGGAATGAAAAAAGCCATACTCTTGGAGAAAGCATAAGACGAGCTCCAAAGCATCCATGGCCCGCTACTTTGCTGCTTGGACAACCGCAACTGCGAAGAACAACTCAAACACCGAAACAAGAGAAAAACAAGTAAAAAAATTTACTTAAAGTTGATCTCATCGTAGCCAAACGCGCTCACAAGCTTCGCAGCTTTGGATAGATTCGCGAGATTGCTCCCACCGAGTTGTAAGACAATTGGATGCTGTGCGGCAGGAAACTCAAGCCACCTCTCCTGTGGTCACACATTAGTTCTTTCATTCTAGAGCAAGAAATCCATTACCAAATCATTCTCGTGATGCACGATCGTCTCCGCGACAACCATCTCAGTGTAGAGCCACGAGCAGCGGCTTAGAATTCTAGCCAGCGCGCGGAAGTGATTGTCAGTCCATTCCATCATTGGCGCAACACTACACTGCGGCATTTCTTATAAGCGATCCAGAGGCTTCTCGATTCCAGAGGCTACACAACTAGAAATTACCTGAACCAAGGAGGAGGACGTGAATCCACAGAGCTGAGAGACGAAGAGAGGCGCCATCTCTGATCGCGTCGTGGATGATGCGCCATTGCCCTCCACATTGCCGCGCCAAATGCGTCGACGCCATAGCTCCCAACGAGAGCCATATTTTCAAATGCTAAGAACCCTAAACCCTTTTAATTTCCATACCCTAGGTAGCAAGCATTCCCTCGCTCGATCCAATCGAAGGCGCTGCTCTTCAATCTCGGTACGCTCGATTTCGTCCTTGTTTCTGCGAATCCTGCATTCTTTCTCCAGAATGTGCGCGTTAGAGATTGATTTTTGCAAGGATTATAGATGTTTCGCAAGGATTTCTTACTGGACTGCTCGTAGTGTTTATGTCTTTCGTGTGTGCAGCGGCAGCAGCGAGCGTCAGGATTTCACTGCGTTGCTTGGCGACGAAAGCGTGCATCGAGCAGCTGCCAATGGCTCAACTCAAAGAAATTGGCAAGAACAAAATGTTTGGGGGATTCAACCGGCGATTCCAGCATCCGAGTAGCTCTTGTGGCTGCGATATGAATTTCAGTGTCTACTTCCCTCCAGCAGCGGATCATGGCAAAGTTCCAGTAAGTTTAGCTATAGTTTGTTTTGTTCTTTTGTTCTTTATCTTTGGTGGAAAGTTCCAGTGAGTGTAGCTATAGTTTGTTTTGTTCTTTTGTTCTTTCTCTTTGGTGTAAGTTTTGATGGTTCCTTTGCTCAGGTTCTTTACTGGCTCTCGGGTCTTACGTGCACGGACGAGAACTTTATTCAGAAATCTGGAGTTCAGCGTGTTGCTGCTGCTGAAGGAGTAGCAATTGTCTGTCCTGATACGTCTCCTCGTAAGTTTCTTTTTCTTTACATAGTATGGTATTGTTCCTGGGTTTGTAAATGATTTGGGAATGTATCAGGTGGCCTAGGAGTTGAAGGAGAATCTGATAGCTGGGACTTTGGTGTAGGCGAGTGATTTTTGCTTCGCAAAAACAATGGCCTTGGTTTATTTGGCTTTTTCTTTTTTTTCTCAGGTGCCGGTTTTTATCTCAATGCAACTCAAGAAAAGTGGAAAAAGTGGCGAATGTATGACTACTGCACCAAGGAGCTCCCAGAACTCCTCAGCTCCAGTTTCGATCAGCTGGACACTAAGAATGCGTCAATCTTCGGGCATTCAATGGGTGGTCACGGGGCTTTAACTATTTTTCTGAAGAACCCAGACAAGTACAAGGTGAGCTATAAGGTTCATACTCTTACTCTGACTTTTTCTTTTTCCTTTCTAACAGTCTGTGTCTGCGTTCGCTCCCATTGCGAGTCCTGTGAATTGTCCATGGGGACAAAAAGCTTTCTCTGGATATCTGGGAGATGACAAATCGTTGTGGGAAGTAAGTCTTGGACGCTTTCCATCATTTTTAATCCTCTTGTAACTAATCTGCTTACAGGAGTATGATGCCTCTCTGCTTTCACGTAAGTACAAGGGTAATCCTACAAAAATCTTGATCGACCAGGTAATCCTTATTCTATTTTCGCGGGTCTTGTTCTTTCGTCTCTCTTAGCTGGAGTGATCGATGTGCAGGGCGATGATGACAAGTTTTACAAAGAAAAGCAGCTCCTGCCAGAAAATATTGTGGAATCTGAGCTTTTGCGAGTGGAGCTCCATTTGAGAAGCGGGTACGACCACTCATATTTCTTCATTGCCTCTTTCGTGGAGGACCATATCAAGATGCATGCCACAGCACTGAAGTCTTAATGCTTCAGGGTCTGAAGCTTCTAGTTTGCCAGGACATTATATATTCAAGGGGAAAGTGGTTTGTTTCTCTATGGGTGCTGAAAAGCTAGTTGTAGTTGTAGGCGCAGGATTGGCAGGTCTGGCGGCCGCTCGAGAAGTGCAATCGCATGGAGTAAGAGTGCTGGTTTTGGAAGCGTCGGGTGTTCTGGGCGGAAGGATCAAGCAGCTCAATGGGCTCGTGCCGTGGCCGGTTGAGGTACTTCCTTTTTGTTTTGGCTCTCCGTCTAAAACCAACTATTTTGTTTGTTGTGTAGCTTGGGCCCGAGTTTCTTCACGGAAAGCAAAACTCGTCCATCGCCCAGATAGTCAACGAGATGGGCTGCACAATGACAGAGTTCCCCTATCATATCCTTGTCTCGTTTTCCTCTTGTTATGTTTGCCTTGACAACTTGTCACCCGATTTTTATTATGTTGGCAGTGAGAGTAGGCTCCTAACATCCGAGGAGGCAGAGGACCATTCTGAGATTCAGACTGTGCATGGCATATTTGCAGCACTCGCGGAAGAAACGCATCCATCGCCAGACATATGTATGGACGAGTTTTTGCGGAGGAATAAAGTGAGCAACACTGTCGTTCAGCTCGCCGAGTGTAAGTGGTGTCCTCGTTTCTTTGGCCTTTTTCTATTTTGCTTTTCACCAGATAGCTTGTGCTTGCAGCTATTTATGCGAACGATTTTGGCTGTTCGCTGCATCAGCTCGGTGTTGGCGAGTGCATCGAGGAGGCACGGCAGTGGATTTACGGTGATACTTACATGCTCCTGGACAGGCCTCTTTCTTCAATCGTGGATCATCTCTCCAAAGGATTAAATGCAGGTGTGGAGTTCTTCCCACGAATCAAAACTAAGTTTGTTGCTCTGTTCAGGTGCTGACAAGCCATCCGGTTGAAGACATCACGTATTTTCCAACTGGTGAACTCGAAGTGAAATGTAGAGGAGGTGCTAAATTTCAAGCGCACTATACAATCGTGACCGTGCCAGTGGTAGCTGAGCTTGTCGAGGCAATTTAGCTGCTAAAGCTTTTGTTTCTTCCAGAAAATCCTGGAGGACGAGTCTATTCGATTCAATCCACCGCTTCCAAAGAGTAAAGTGGATGCAGCGTCCACCATAGGAATGTCAAGCGCTGTCAAGGTACCAGCTAAGTTGCTCGTCTACAAAATCTTCCTTTTTTCTCTCCAGATTCTTCTCGCTTTCTCGCAAAGATTTTGGCCAGAGGAAATGTTTGACGTCGTCTGCACCGATTGCTTCGTGCCAGAGTTCTGGGCGACACAGTATCCCTGCAAATCCAGCCGCGACGAAGAAGCTCTCGGCAGTGTGCTGCTGGTCGGATTCATCGCAGGGGAAACAGCACGCCAGATTTCCAAGCTTTCACACAGCGAGATCTTCTCGAGAGCACTCTCTCAACTGGACGAGATCTTCGCAAAGATAAAACCAACCAAGAACGCAAAGCTCTCGATTGAAACTTTCCAAGAGTCTGGCGGATTCTACACTCGAGCAGCAGCGAAACCTTTCGATCCGGAGCTCCAGCCAGCGTCATTCTACTTCGCGGCAGCGTCTCTGGTGGATTGGTCGCGCGAGGACTTCGTCCGTGGAGGATACTCGCATCCTTCTCTCAACGCTCGAGGTGCTCGCGAAGAACTCGCCAAGCCAGTCCATGGAAGGCTCTTCTTCGCGGGCGAGGCTACTCATCCTGGAGTGAATCCTTGCATGCAAGCAGCCATCGACTCTGGAATTCGCGCAGCTCGCGAAGTTCTTGGCTGTGTGATCTAGAGAATCGTTTTGGAATCTCTTCAAGCTATGTTAATTTCCCTCCAATAAATCAAGCAATCAGGGTTTTGGCTATGGCGACGAGTCTCTTGGCTCACAAGAGTGGCGTCTTCTTTGGCAGCGCGAGCGCGCTCTGCGATTTCCAGGCGCGACCAGCATTGCGATCGTCCAGGCGCGGCACCGTTCGCGCGTCGTCCAGGTCCGCGGGAGGAGAATGCCGGGATTTTGCGCTCCGGGATGTCTTTGCGAAGCGCGCATTCAAGGTATTCGTCTGGATCGATGGCGATGGGAGAGGGTTTGATGGTGGGATTTTCTTGCAGGTGATTGCTGGGCTCAACAATTTCGATCGAGAGAATGTGGCTGATGTGGTTGTCGCCGCCGAGAAGGTGGACAAGATAGCGATTCCTTCGCCAAAAATCTCTTGATTTTCTTTGGTTTTGCCAAGGGTGGTGCGACGCATGTAGATATCGCTTGTGATCCACAGGTCGTCGAGCTTGCGCTTGGCTTAACTTCATTGCCGGTAAGAAATTCCATTCTTCTTATTCTTCTCGTTTTGTTCATAGATGGTAGGGTTAAATTCCATTCTTTTCATTCTTCTCTCTTTCTTTTGTGTTCTTCTCTTTTCTTTGAGAATGACTCACATACATTTTAGATATGTGTCTCTGCCGTGGATCCAGAGGCATTTGTGGCGGCTGTGGATGCCGGAGCACACATGGTTCGTCATCTCATCTCCTTAGAAAACTAAGCAAAGAGTTCTTGGCATTGATTCGTGTTCTTTTCCAGATCGAAATTGGAAACTTCGACTCGTTTTACGACAGTGGCAGAGTTTTTTCTTCCAAGGAGGTGAAACTTTTAGTCTCTTCTTCACGCTCGCTACTTACTACTTGCTGGATTCACCCAGGTCTTAGAGCTCACTAGAAGAACAAGAGAACTTTTGCCACACATCACTCTTTCAGTGACGGTGCCACATACTTTGCCACTCGATGAGCAGGAAAGATTTCCTTTTTTTTCTATATTCATAAGCTGTCTTACACATTGCTGTTGGTCTCTCTTCCAGGTCCAGCTCGCCGAGGCTTTAGAGGAAGAGGGTGCCGATATCATCCAAACAGAGGGTGGAACAGCTTCTACTCCTTCCAAGCCTGGGATCACAGGTCTCATTGAAAAGGTAGAGTCGTCTTGTGGATATCTTCTTTCCCAGCTTACAAATTTCCATTTAAAACAGGCAACTCCCACACTAGCAGCTGCGTATTCCATCTCCAGAGCTATTACGCTTCCAGTTCTCTGTGCCTCTGGATTGAGTGCAGTGACAGCTCCAATGGCGATCACTGCTGGCGCTTCTGGAGTGGTAATCTTAGCATCAAGCGTTTCTTCTTCTTCGTTTTTAACGTTTGCACCATTTCTTCCAGGGCATTGGCTCAGCTGTGAACAAACTAAACAGCCAACTTGCAATGGTGGCGACTGTTCGCAGCATTGCGGATGCAATGGGACTAGAACCATCCACTGAAAAGATTCCAGAGAGAGCTCGAGACAAAGCTTGATTAGTTCTTCGACGATCAAATCCAAACGATCACAGTCATAAGCAAGAACAAAGCAAAACTCCGTCACCACTCTCGTTGGTATCAAAATGTATATAATTTAATATATTTGTAAAAAAAGTGAAGAAAGTAATTATTATAATTGATTTGTTCTGAAATATTTCATTTTCGTCGATCTCATTAATAGTTTGGCGGACTTTCGAACAGTATCACGTGGATCTTGCCTACACTTGAAGTCTGTTTCCCTGTTTGATTTTCTTGGGAGAGAATCAACACGCATCAGTCTCGTGGGCACCACAATACTCTCTAAACAGCATATAAATAGATAGATAGATTTCGCAAGAACACAGCTAGAATGGAGGCACTGATCAATGAGTTTGAGGACATGTGTAGAAATGCAGCAGCTGTTCAGGAGGAGGTCTTGGGGAACATTGTTGAGCACAATGCTTCTTGCGAGTTCCTCCAGAGCTACAATGTGACCGATGTAGATTCATTCAAAGCTCATGTCCCCGTTGTGGGCTATGAAGACATTGCTGCGAAGATCCAGCGCATGGCAGATGGAGATCCAGCCTCCATCCTGTGCAAAGACCCCGTCATTGCGTTCATCTCGAGGTTTGATAGCCATATTTTTCTTGCTTAGCTTATGTTTTATGTAGTTCGGGAACAACCACTGAGAAGCGCAATGCTTTTCCACTTACCACAAAGTCCTGTGACGTGAAAAACCATGCAATGTACAAGATTGCAGCTGCTTATATAGAGAGGTATATCAAGCCAAGCCAACAAAATTCTATAATCGGCTTAACCTCTGATGATTTGTTCTTGTGTGTTTGAGCAGGGATTTTCCAGTTGGTTCTTTTCCAACAGCCTTGGCTTTCATGTATGCTCTCCCTTGCGGGACACTCTCCAAATCAGGGATCCCGATCATGCCCGTTTCTAACTTCGCTTTCACAAGCCAGGCTTACAAAGAGAGGCCGAGCAGGAGCACGAGTCCAGACGAGGTTATCTGGGGTCCTTGGTGGGAGTCAACGTACTGTCACATGCTCTGTGGACTCATTCAACGCATGGAAGTGGATTATATTATCTCCTTCTTTGCTTACACCCTTGTCTACGCATTCAACATGCTTGAGGTTGAATGGAGGAACCTCTGTCATGACATAAGAACTGGAAAACTGGACGAGAGAGTCAAAGACGTCAAACTGAGAGCAGCTGTTGCAGGGGTGCTGCATGAAGATCCAGATTCAGCTGGCTTCATAGAAGAGGTCTGCAGCAGCAAGGAGTCATGGGATCAAGGGATAGTTCCACAACTTTGGCCCAAAGCTAAGTACTTACACACTGTGGTAACAGGTGACATGAATCTAGTTTTTTGTTTCCCTTTGTAATGCGTGGTTTTGCACTTATAGGTGGTATGAAGCCTTACGTTCCTGCTCTAAGGAAATATGCAGGGGGTGTGCACATTATCGGAAAGGCATACATAGGATCCGAAGGAGTCTATGGAATAAACATGGATCCCACTACTGAAGCCGAGAATGTTGTCTTCACACTTGTCCCTACGACATTATACATGGAGTTTCTTCGGCTCAGGGACAACAAGCTGGTGGACTCGAGTAACTTAGAAATCGGTGAGCAGTACGAGCTAGTTATTACCACATATTCAGGTGAGCAGTTGATCTTGCTTCATTTGTCATTCACTGGCATGGGCTTTACAGGTTTGTATCGGTACAAAGTGGGGGATGTGGTCAGAGTCGTTTCTTTCTTTCACCAGAGCCCACAAATGGCCTTTGAATATCGTACCAGTGCGCTGCTAAGCGTAAACCTGGACGTAACCAGTGAACAAGAGCTCCAGAACGTGGTGAGAAGAACATGCAACGAAGCAAACCTGAAAATCGTGGATTTCACAAGTCAATCAAACCAGACGGAGCAGCCTGGCTACTATGTCATCTACTGGGAGCTGAAAAACAAGCCAGATTACTCCAATCATGCACTTCTAAACAGGTGTTGTGATGTTCTGGATCGCTCCTTCACTTCTTCCACATACATCATGGGGAGAAGAAGTGGCACAATCGGACCCCTCAAGCTTGTGATCCTGGAAAGAGGCAGCTTTGGCAGGATTATGGAGCATGCTGTGAGCAATGGCTCCGCACCTGGACAGTACAAAACTCCAAGGTGCATCAAGAGCCCAAAAGTGCTGAAGATTTTGGAAGAGGGGATTGTGAGCACTTATAGGAGCTCCAAATATCCAAGATGATGAAATATGTTCTTACTATAACTTAATACAATATATCAATTGAAGATATTGATCAATCTTCCACAATGGTTAAATTCTCAAGGTTCTGTTGAAAGCAATAATAATATAAAATCCCCCGAATTTGGTCAAAACGGAATTACATTTAAAGTTTTTGCTTTTCTCAGCTAAGAAAATGAATATTGCATTTTTAAACAATATGTACAATATTCGATCAAATCTTGAGTGTCTAGAAACCATGATATTCCACCAAGGTAACGTGTTTGATTTGGCTTCCACTTCTTCAGAGTTTATAACAATTTCCTGACTTGCAATCCATGTTCCTACCACCTTTATAAATCGGGGTCAATCCTCCCCAAAGAACGAGCAATGGATCTCCGACTCCAAGCACTGCTTGCGCTGCTACTCATCGTCGCGGCCTCCGCCGAAGATTGTGGCCGTCAGGCCGGGGGAAGAACTTGCCCACCCGGAATTTGCTGCAGCAAATGGGGGTGGTGTGGAGTCACCACGGATCACTGCGGCGATGGCTGCCAGAGCCAGTGTGGCGGATCAACCCCCCCGGTTCCTCCAAGCGGTGACGGCGTTGGGTCGATCATCACGTCCTCGATCTTCGAGGACCTGCTCAAGCACCGCAGGGATTCCGGCTGCGCCGGCGGGTTCTACACGTACAGCGCCTTCATCACGGCCGCGAGGTCCTTCCCGAGCTTTGGAAACGAGGGATCGCTGGAGCAGAGGAAGCGAGAGCTGGCCGCGTTCTTGGCACAGACATCCAAGGAGACCACGGGTAAGTAAGAATGATCGAGAGATCGAATGCCACCACTCTGTTGGCTTCCAGAGCTTTGAGTTCTCGAATTTCTTGGAATTCCAGGGGGATGGGCGACTGCTCCAGATGGGCCATATCGCTGGGGCTACTGCTTCGTCGAGGAGAGGAACAAGGACACTTACTGTCGAGCATCGCAGCAATGGCCCTGCAATGGCGGCAAGAGATACTTTGGTCGAGGACCCATCCAGCTGACATGGTAGTACCAAAATCTCTCTTCTTGCTTTTTCTTTCTTGCGTTCTTGTGTGGAGTTTCAAGCGAATTCTCTTGGTTGGAGAGTTTGATCTTGAAATGACAAAGTTCCTGCGTCTGGATAGAGCTACTCATCTCTAGATTGTCATTTCTTGGCAGTGCCACTTACAAATCTTCTCTCTCGTGGCAGGAATTTCAACTATGGGCTGGCCGGATCACAGCTTGGCTTCGATGGGATCAACGATCCAGACATTGTTTCGAGAGATCCGGTGGTTTCCTTCAAGACGGCGATCTGGTTCTGGATGACTGCGCAGAACCCCAAGCCTTCGTGTCACGACGTCATTCTCGGGAACTGGAGGCCATCTGGCGCGGACTTGGCCGCCGGGAGAACCGCGAGCTACGGGACGGTGACCAACATCATCAATGGCGGACTTGAGTGTGGGATAGGCGAGGATCCCCGTGTCAAGGATCGCATTGGCTTCTTCCAGAGCTACTGCCAGGTCTTGGGGATCAATCCAGGATCAAACCTTGACTGCTACAACCAGCGGCCTTTCACACAGCTGCTGCTGGAGAAAGCAAGCCAGTGATCAAATCTAGAGGAATAAGAACTTGCAAAGCTTGCAAAGAATAAGCACTTAGCTCTCAAGATGGAAACTGGAAAAACTTACTCGAAATGTGCTCATTCATCTCGCCCTTTCAGCTCTCGAAATCTTCTCTAAACCCGCGAAGATTTGCTTTGCTGCTCGTCAGCCCTGCGAAATACAAAGAAACAACGCATTAGAGAGACGATCGAGGTAGCGATCGATCGATGGTTTTTCCAATCACTGTACGAAATGAAATGAGACAGTAAAACTTGTGCACAGGTAAAGGTTAATGCATAGAAGAAGAAAGACAACACTCTACCTGGAAGCGCGAGAGCTTGTTGGAGATTACAATCCACAGTGCTCCTATAATCCACAATGCTCCACACGGGCAAAATCTTGTGCTCCATCGACGCATATTTGCAAAACTTTCTCTGGAAAGAGAGCTAGGAACAAGGATTAAATCCAGCGGAAAACCTCGCAGCTAGTACCTGGAGCTTTAGATCCACCAACGGTCTAGATCTGCCCACCCCGCAGGATCCGACGCCCGAAATTCAATCTCCCGGCTCAGACGCTCCGCGCGCTCGCTGTCGTCGTGGATCTGGCAAGCTCCAAACACCGCCGTGAGCGCCACCCTGTTCTTCCCCAGCGGCATGGATCTCGCCAGCTTCTCCGCCTCCTCCAGCCACCCAGCTCGGCCCAGGAGATCCACCAAGCAATCCAGATGCTGGACAGAGCTCTCAATCCCGTGATCGCCCACCATAGCCAGAAAGTAGCGCCGGCCTTCCTCCACCATCCCAGAGTGGCTGCAAGCGAAGAGGATGGTGATGAAAGTCACGTCGTCCGGTTTGATCCCTTCCGAGTCCATCCGCTGGTAGAGCTCGAGAGCTCGCTGGCTATGGCTGTGCTGAGCGAAAGCCGAGATGATAGCAGTCCAGGAGATGAGCGTCGCCGCTGCCATCCTTCCAAAAACTCTGCTTGCCTCCGCCAGGCTCCCGGACTGGCCGTAGAAAGTTATCAGCGCGTTGGACACCGAGGTGCTCGCTTCCAGTCCCTCCTCAATAATCCTGGAGTGGATCATCCTCCCTCTGGCCAGGGAGTTTTGATCCATGCACACCGCCACCAGCCGCATGAACGTTGTCTCGTCGCCTCTCACTCCTTCCAGCTCCATCCTCCAAAAGAGCTCGAAAATCTCCTCGCCGCGGCCAGCGTTCACGTAGCTCGTGAGCAGCGCGTTCCAGCTCGCGACCGTTCTCGCCGGCATCTCGTCAAAAGCCGTCTTTGCTGCCTCCAAGCTCCCATACTTCCCGTAGCAGCTCACGAGACTGGTCCCAAGAACAGCATCCCTCTCCGAGTCTGTCCCCGTTATACACTCGTGCAGCGTCCGTGTCTGTTCCAAGCTCGAGCAGCTGAGAAGAACCGTGGCAAAAGTCACCTCGTTCGGCCTCACTCCATCCAAATCCATGCTCCGGAACAGCTTCATTGCTTGATCCGAGAGACCCTCCTGCTGATAAGCCGAGATCATGGCTGTCCACGCCACCACGTCCCGGCTGGAAATCTTCTCAAACATCCTCTTGGCGTCGACGAGGCTCCCGCAGCGAGAGTACATGTCTAGAACGGCTGTTGCGACAACGGGACTGCTACTCTCCATTCCCAGTGACTTCGCCACCCCGTGCACCACTCTCCCATCTCCCAAGTTCTTGGAGAAGCTACACGCATCCAAGCAGTTGACGAGCGTGGCATGGTTGGGAGCCACGCCTTCGGCGAGCATTGCTCTGAACAGCAGCAGCCCCTCGTCTGCGAGCTCGTGCTGCGTGAGAGACGAGATCACGACGCTCCACGAGACGACGTCCTTGCGTGGGATCCGATCGAAAGCTTGTCTGGCGGAGCTCGGATCTCCACACTTGCTAAACATGTTGGCGATGGAGTTCCCGACGATGGTGTAGCAGTCGTAGCCGCTCTCGTCGACATGCTCGACCAAGGCTTCTCGCTCCAGAAAACTTGGAAAGCTGCAGCAGGCCTCGCATATAGCCACGAAAGTCACCTCGTTCGGCTTCACGCCGTCCAGGCTCATCCCGTGATACATGCTCCAAGCTTGCCGGCCGTGTCCTCCCTGGGCATACGCTGTGATCATAGCACTCCAAGTGATCACATCCCTCTCCGCCATCCCGTCGAATACTGCTCTTGCTTCTCTCACCCGCCCATACTTCCCATACATGTTGACGAGAGCTGTCTGGAGAGGCCGATACGTTTCAAACGAGCTCCCAGTGATACACCCATGAACTGTTCTTCCATCGGCTAGACGATCCAAGCTCGCCGAGCAAGAGCTCAAAACCGTGATAAGCGTCACCTGGTTGGCCCTCACACCTTCCTGGTTCATCCTCCGGAAGAACTGTACGGCTTCCCTGTGATCTTCGTTCTCGGCGTAGGCAGCGATGATAACTGTCCAGGAGAAGACGTTGGGCTCCTCAATCCCGTCAAAAACCTTCCTTGCGTCACTGACACTGCGACACTTCCCGTATGCTAGCACCAACATGTTCGCCAGGTGCCTGTTCTCCGGAAAACACTTGACAATGTGATTGTCAAGCCGCTTCACACCTTCCAGAGATTTACACTCGCGTAGCCTGGAGACAATGCTCGAGGGATCTAGCAGCTCCAACCCATCTTCATCTTGACTACAACGATCCTGTGATAACGCTGCAAGACCAGAAAACGAGAGCATCAGTCGCCAACTATGGACTACTTGGTGTCTCTTGAACACGAGCATAGGCCACTGACCTAGGCAGCCAAGATTCTCCTTTAAGAAAATAAAGAGTCTGCTTACTTTTTAGCAGGTTTAGGACCCACTCCTCCAGCAAGCTCGTATACTGCTACTGCCACATTTGCTGCGAGCTCGTCCGCTAGCTCTTGAGTTCCAGCTTCCGCATATACTCGCACCACGTCCTCCGTTCCAGAGGGCCTCACAAATGCCCGACCTTTGGTAAAATTCTCTGCAAAGACAGCTTAGCAAGGAAAAAAAACATATTTTGCAGAAAAGCCCGACTTACCGACTTCCTTGTCAATCGCACTTTGCAGCTCCGCTGGCCTGGACACCTTTGTTTCGGCATTTGTCGTGGTGATGCATGTCCGGTCCTTGACTTTCACCTGAAGAAAACGAGAGAAAAATCAGACTCTCAAAGCCTCAATCGGCAAGTTGCGACCTTCAGCTGCCTGCTTGGCACGTCCTCGTACAGAGCATCCCACTCCCGAACATCCCACACTGAATAAGTGAGGACCACCTCGACCATCAATAATCCACTGATTGCATCTCCTATAGCTTGATTTACCATCTCGCTGACTGCAAGCAATCTTTTACAGGCTCGCAAACGACTGTTCACTGCAGTCACAAAATGCTTTAGCTGCCAAAAAAAATATCAGCAACTTACGAATTTCACTGCTGGCGGACTCTCGCCGAAGAAAGTCCAGGAAGCGTTCGCTGAAGAGAACGGTACCGTGCCCGTTTGCTTCGAAGTACACTCCAATGTCGAGCTTCTCTGCTTCTTCATGGAGATACTTAACACCTGTCGGGGTTAAGACAACCTCAAGTCCGAGAACTTCCTGCAGATATTTGGTTGAAGATCCATTTGCATACGCTGTCTGTACTGCCCCCAAATTCACCCTTCCATACCCTGGAATTATACAGTCTTTCTCGGAACCCATTAGTGCTTCAACTTGTTGCTTCAAGAAACGTGCGAACAGTGATAAGATCTTGTCCCCATCCAAAAGGTGGAAAATTCCATCGCCGGATACGTAAAAGTACGCCAAGCGATCTGCATCGCCATCAACAGTCACACACCTGAAAAGGAGTTAAACAACGAACAGAAACATTTAAAAGTTCACACAAATACCTTCTGTCTGAATCCGCGGAAGCAGCAAAACCTGCGGGAAGGACTTTTTCCTTCTGCACAAAATCAGCACCAGCAAGATGGTTGAGCTCTCCCTCCCCAGAATTCCGCACCTCCAAATTCAAGCCCTCGATAAGCATTTGCAAATCAAGTAGCTTTCTCGCACCAACACCATTCGCACCATCGACAACTATGTCTAGGCATCGAGGTACGGCCGGCTTACGAGGATTGAGATCCAGTAGCAATCTGAAAGCAAACAAAGAGAGCTCAGTAAGCACGCATTGAAAGTTCCATCTTTACTCACTTAAAAGCTTCCGAGAGTTTGGTATAGTAAGCTAGCTCGTTTACTTGTGGCTCACCTTTGTTCGTAGCACGAACCATCCAGTGTAGCTGGGGAGTTGTCAAAACTCCCATGTTCACGGGAGCTACTCCCATCGCTTCAATTCCCTTCCATCACAAAAACAAAAGTAAGAAGAAGAAGAAGAGGACAAAGCGAGAAAAAAAACTTTAAACTGACCTTTACAGCAGCGGCAACCAAAGCCTGGCCACTCGGTCTAGTATCTCTTGCAATCAAAACTTTTCCTTTCCAATTTTCGTGGACGCTCTCGTTCTTGATAATCGTCTCCACAACCTGTGACAATTCTTCAACACAAAGAGGAAGAAAACGAAGAATCCATCGTGACTTACCTCCAAAACATCCACCGCATTGGCAATATCTTCGGCGAATGGCTCCCAATTCCTGGCGAGCATACCTCCGGACGGATCCACCATCTTAACTCCATTGTCCGTCGCCTGGTTGTGCGACGCGGTGATCACCAATCCAGTCGCCTTGCCCGTCACCAGCGACCTCAATCCAGCCAGGACCCCGGCCCGGAACGCGACCGATCCCAGCACCGACGCCTCGGTGCGAAATCCGGAAGTGCCATACGAGAATCGCAGCCCTGATCGAGCAATACATTAGAAAATCCCGCCCTCTCAACCCGACCAACCGATCGATCGATCCATCAGTTGGATCGATCAGTAGCAAACCTGGATATTTTGGAAACGCGAGCGCGGCATTGTGGAGACGATGGCGCCATCTCTCCGCCATGCTCTAAGCTCCGCTGGCAAAACCCTAAACCTAAGCATTCGTTAAAGGAGAATGAAAGAGAATAAAATCAAAAGATCCTTTCATTCCAAAAGTTGGTGTATCAAACCTTGTCGTGCTTTAACTTAGCGACTGTATTATTAATCAAATCCCATGCCGCATTAACATAATGTTCTTGCGCAGCACGGCAGAGAAGAGCTATCCATGATTAGAGTGGGACAAAGGCCGTACCACAGAGTTCCTTTTTCTCCACAAAAAAAATGGAAAAAAAATCCCGTATAATCTTTTCGCCCTTCTTTACTCATTTTTTGCGCGCAGTGGCAAGTTGCGTCCCAGCGCACAGCAATTTGTCTGCTGCTGGAGTACTTGATCGTGCAAAAATTTCCACTCGCGAGCCAGAAGATCATCGATCGATGGATCCCTTCACCACTAGGTAAAATCAATCGAGCCCGGAGATTGATGATCTAAGCATTCGCTATACATCGATGCCAAATTCAGTGACGCATAACACTCGCAAGCCTCTATCTTGTCCCGGCCAGATCTGGGCGATCAATGATCTCAGTGCAAACAGTCCACAATTCGGCCCCACCGTGCCTCCAAGGGAGTGCGCAGGGGTATATCCACCGCGATTGGAATATTCCACCGCGACAGGAATATTCCCTGCTTGGATTTGGCGGGCGCACACGGGCAAGCTCTGGTCTGGGGATCGCACCAACACGTGCAGTCGCTACCTCCGCCCAAGATCCCTTTGAATATTCACTCCTTAAGAAGATTTTTCTCTGGTCACTTTCTCTCGCGGCATGCTTTTCTTTCGACTTATCAAAACTCTTTGGAAAAGTTTGGCTATGGAGCTTTGACCCGGCGTTCTCGCCTTCCTACCGTGACGATCACTTATACAAAAATTAGGGTTTATAAAAAAATCCACCACCCATGTTAGCCAAACCAGATGCCCGATCTGTTGCTGTCAATGACTTCTCTCTTTCTCCAATCTTATCCCTCGAGATCCGTTCGTCCCGGGGAATCGAACCCTCCCCACTCCCACCTTTCCGTACGCATTCCAGGGGCGTACGAAACCTTGCCCCGGGTGTTCCCGCAACCCGGAACAAGGGGCATCAATCGTCCTGGAGGATGGAATCTACTCTTCATTCTCTGGCGGATTCGCTCTCGTTGTTTAACCGGGAGCTTAAAGGTGGGTGTCCAGTTAGCACAATATTTTATTTGGTGGCCGGGCCAATCATCGTCTCTTTCCTCCATAGCTCTCTCTCTCTTTCTCTTCCATTCATTCTTCTTCTTCTTCTCCTTCCACCAGAGCGCTACTTGCAAAGCCTCCTCTCAATCCCTCTTTTTTGTGACTTGGGACTGCCACTGGCGCTGGCGACCGCTGGCTGGGAGTGTGTGATTGGGATGATGACGGCAGCGATCGATGATTCGCTTGATTGGCTGCCCGATTTCCCCGAGAATCGTTCGCCACCGGGCAATGCATCATCCATCCATCGCCCTCAAGCACAGACAGATTCTAGCCTAGTGTGTTGCGTTGCGCGCGCTCATTCCTAGTTCTTCCTTGATTCTCTTCTTCCAAGAATTTCTTTCCTCGTTCTCAGCTTCGTCGTTACTGTGCTGGGCAAGTTGCAAGCTTCCAGGGCTTCGATTTCTCAGATCTTCCCACTCCCAAAATCTCTCCTTCGTTTTATCCTCTGTCGCCCTCGCCCAAGATCTCCTGGACAGTGGTTCCCCTCAATCCCGGCAAGAACACCTCTTCCTCTATCTCCTCTCCCGCTAGGATCAATCGCCCAAAGCTCGCTCGGTGTGTTCTTCCTCTTCTCTCTCCCGCTTGTGTTCTTCCCAAATTTGCCCTTTCCAATCGATTGCCCGGACAGCGATGGATACGGCAGAGTTGCGCAGGGATCTCATCAAAGATTTGGAGCAGTAAGTGTGGGAAATTTCTCTCCTGTGGAGCGATTTCTCGTGGAAGATCTCTCGTGTGTGTGTGAGTCGTGTGCCCCGTTTTCGAGTTCCGTGTGTCCGGTGTGTCCGGTGTCCCGGTGTCCGAATTTCTCTCGCTACGTAAGCCGCGGTGACAGCGACAAGCCATCGAATTCGCGCGGCCGATCCCAAATTCCAATCGCCGCAGCGAAGCCGCGAGAAGAAATCTCCACGCCATCGCCCACAAAACCCATGGATCGATCGATTGGAAAGCTCGCACCTTGGTAGATCTTCCAGGAAGAAGAAGGGGGCTTTTGGTTTGGCCCCGGGAGCGCTCATCCCGCGCACTGGAGCGATCAATCTGCCGATCGATCGACATGGGCAGCAAGCAGCAGCAGCAAAACCCCCAGCTCTTCCAGCGATTGGGGAATTACAATCCCCACTCCTCGCTCGCCACCGCGGCTTCTTTCAGCTCGCCCAACAAGAAATGGATGCTCAACGCCAAGAACGATGTGGTGGAAGTGGCGCCGGACCATCTCCACCACGGCTATGGAGACCAATCGCAGTTCCAGGCGATCAATCTCTCCGCCCAGCAACAGGGATTCGTGGGCGAATGTGGGCGAGGAGGAGGAGGGGGAGGATCTGGAGGATCAGTGTTGATGCGCTACAACTCGGCTCCCAGCTGCCTCTTCTCCGATCTCGACCAGATTGCTAGATCTCTCAACGAGGCCGCCGCCGCCAGCGCCGCCGCCGCCCCTAGCGCCGCCAATGCGCCGCTCTTCTCCCCCGACGTCCTCCCGCCGCTACCGTCCGCCATGGCCGCGACGAGCAAGAAAAAGATTGGCAGCCCCACGCACAGCTCCAGCCGCTACTCCGCCCAGAGCTCCACCTCCCTGGGCATGGATTTCAGCGTCATGGATCACCACCACCACCACCATCGCCAGCAGCAGAACGGATTCACGGGCTTGCTCACGGGAACTTCTTCCAGCACTGCCGCCGCCATCGCCAAGAACACCACGGCGACGCCATCGCCATCACCACCACCAGCCAATTTGACGCGGCAGAGCAGCTCCCCCGCGAGCTTGCTGTCGCGGCTGGAGATCGATCGCCAGGGGCTGCAGCATGGTAGCAGCGAGGAGGACAGCCCGCTAGAGATGCGATCGCCCATCACCGATCAAGAGATGATGGTGGCCAGCGTCTCGGGTGCCATGGATTTGGGGGCGGTCTCTTCCGTGGATTGCGGCTTCTGGGATGGCAGCTCCGCGGCGGCAATGGCTGTCCATCCCGCCGCCGCTCACCATGCCGCCGCCGCCGCCGCCGCCGCGGCGCAGCAGCAACTCCATGGCTCGGTGTTCATGGGGAATGGGAATTTGGATCAAGGCGGGCGAAAGAGAATCCGGGACGTGGACATGGACATGTTGGACGCGGCGTTGGATCACAGCAGTAGTAGCGGCGGTGGTGGCGGAGGTGGTGGCGGTGGCGGCGGCGGAGGTCATGTAAGTTCTTCAAAGTTACCTCTTTCTTCTTTGTTCTTGGAGTGGTTCTCTATAGCTTTGCTAGAATTCCTTCTTTCTTTCTCGCTAGCGTCCTTGATCGATTCGATCGGATCGATCGACGTCCATTTTTTTTTTCTTCTTTCTTCTTCTGATGGAACTTTCATTGCTTGTTTGTTTTCTAGTCCGCTGCATGCTTGATGAAACGGGCTTGCTACTGCAAGCAAGCTCGCGGGGACTGATTGATGAAGAGAGTCGGGTTAAAAGGTTGGTTGGATCTTTCTCTCCACTTTTTTCTCCCATTTTTCCGAGACTATCTAAGTTGCTGTTTTGGTAATCTTTGTTTTTGTTCCTCATGGAAGTTTGGATTCTAACGAGCTTTGTCTCTCTCCTTTTGTTTTCCAGCAGCAGCAGCAGCAGCAGCAGCATCACACATTGACACGACACTTGAGCTTGCCGATCTCGACGGGGCGATCGAGTGGCGGATTGCTAGCGGCGGAGAACTTGCTCCAGGATTCGGTGCCTTGCCGGCTTCGAGCAAAGCGAGGGTGTGCTACTCATCCACGAAGCATTGCCGAGCGTGTAAGTTGTCACACTATACTCTCTCTCTCCTCTCTCTCTCTCTTCAATCGCATCGATCGCTTTTAAGTTCTCCCAAGTTTCCGAGGGATCTTCGCATGCTTTTCGATCGATCGAATAGTTTTCCCGTATAGAACTTTACTTCCAGTCAAGTCTGTTTGATCGACTCGAGTTCTTTCAGGTCCGCCGGACGAGGATTAGCGAACGCATGCGAAGGTTGCAAGAGCTAGTCCCAAACATGGACAAGGTAACTTCCTCTCTTCGATCTCGATCTAGTCGTTGCTAGATCTTTTCATTCGCATCTTTGCTTTGATTTCCACGGGAGTTCTTCTATACTTTGGCTAAAGTTTCTAACAGTCTTTGGCTGTGATCCAGCAAACCAACACCTCGGACATGCTAGACGAGGCGGTGGAGTACATGAAGTTCCTCCAAAAGCAAGTAGACGTGAGTATATCCTCCTCTTCACACACATTGTTTAGTCTCATCGATTTTCCTCGTCCCAGGACCTCCAAGAGTGCCGCGAGAAGTGCCAGGGACTTTGCAAGATGAGCCAGCAACAAGGCAAAACCGCTAGCAATGGATCGCAACATTAACTCCGAAGAAATCTCCTCCCGTGCGCGAAAGAGGGGAAAAAAATCGAAACTTTCCTCGCTGATCGCGTGAACTCGCTGGAAAGAATTGGAACAAAGTGAAGAACGAGAAGAAGAAGAAGAAATCTGTAAGTTCGTTCCAACAGTGTAACATATATCCATCCTCTTTGGCGAGCGTTGACCAATAAAAGATTCCTTCCGTGGGCCAGGTACCCCTCCCGGGCGTTGACCATCGCCCATCCCGCGTTGACCGGGATCCGACGGCTGAGCTCAGTCCGGCCTCCTTCCTAGACCGCGGAGGACCACGTCTTTGATCCTTCCTTGTCCGCGCATTGTTTCTACCGCGAATAAATGCAAAGGAAGATCTTTTCTAGCCTAGGGCTCTTGGAGCGAAGAATGCGCGTTCTTTCTTCCAATTGGGGCAAGGATTTCCTCGCCACAGGTTCGTAGAATTCACGGCTGTAGATCATAGATAGATCGACGCGCAGCGCCTGGGCAATGATCAATCAAGCGATTGATCGATAGTTTGGGGGGGAATTTCTAGATCCAAGAATCCATTCCAGCGCAGCCATGAACGATCTGATGAGCCGCTCCTTCTCGGGGCCGCGGAGCTACGTGGATTTGCGGCACGACCGCGACCTGGAAGCCGGCGGCGAGACGGAGATGACAGTGGTGGACTCAGAGAGAAATCTGGCGCTCTTCCTCGAGGAGGCCAACGAGATCCAGGCCAAGATGAAGAGCGTGGAGGGATTGCTCGCGCGCCTCCAGCAGGCCAACGAGGAGAGCAAGAGCATCCACAAGGCGCAGGCCGTCAAGGCGATCCGGCAGCGCATGGACAAGGACGTGGAGCAGGTCCTCAAGCTCGCCAAGTCGATTAAAGCCCAGCTCGAGGAGCTCGACAAGGCCAACGCCGCCAACCGCAAGATCGCTGGATTTGGAGCCGGCACTCCCACCGATCGAACGAGAACCTCCCTGACCGCGAGCATGAGGAAGAAGCTCAAGGACATCATGGGCGATTTCCAGGAGCTCCGACAGAGGATGAAGGGCGAGTACCGCGAGGCGATCGGTCGGCGCTACTTCACGGTCACTGGCACCGATCCGGACGAGGAGACGCTGGAGACGATGATCGAGACCGGCGAGAGCGAGACGTTCCTCCAGAGGGCGATCCAGGAGCAGGGGCGCGGCCAGGTGATGGAGACGATCCGGGAAATCCAGGAGCGGCACGATGCCGTGCGAGAGATCGAGAAGAACTTGCTGGAACTCCACCAGATCTTTCTCGACATGGCGGTGCTGGTTGAGGCGCAGGGCGAGCAGCTCAACAGCATCGAGGATCAAGTCCACCGAGCTTCTTCGTTCGTGGCGAGAGGCACCACGAATCTCCAAGTCGCGAAGAAGCACCAGAGGAGCGCCAGGAAGTGGACTTGCATCGGGATCATCATCTTGATCATCGTGGTCATCGTGATCCTGGTACCCATCCTGGTTAGAGCCAGGAACAACAGCTCCTCGCCGTCACCATCGCCGAATCCAGTGACACCATCGCCGCCACCACCGGTGGCGCCGCCGCCGCCAACTTAGCTTGCTCGATCTGGTGTAAAAAAAAAACTCTTTTCCGTTAAAGTTTTGATTTTGGATGCTTACCAGATGAGTTTTTGTTCGATCGATTCCATCCAAGATAACAATTTCTCTTTCCAGCAAAGTGCTAAAGTTTCGATTTGCCCCACTCTCTCGTAAAGTGTTAACTTTGCTTGAAAGCCTTCCCATCGCCGCAAAGCTTCACTCGATCGATCAAACTGTTTCAAAGTGTGAGAGAGAATGGCTAGAAAAGTTTTAGATCACGATGGCCGTACCTTTTCTCTTTTCTCGCTTTCTCTTTCCTTGTAAAGTCTTTCACGAGTTTGGAACGTGAAAGCCGATAACTCCCCGCTTCTCTCCCGTGCCGAGGCAGCGCGAGCAATGCGCAAGCCCGGATCCCCGGCATTCTTCACACCTACGAAAGAAGGAAGAAGAAAAGAGAGAAAGAGAGAGAAGATCAAACCATGATCGTGATGATCCAGCGGAGAACAAACCATTGCGGCCAAGCTCCATCGGGTAGCATGACGTGTTCTATACAATTGGTCCGACCTGGACGCATTGCGCTATCGTCAAACAAAAAAATTAAAACTTCCTCTTTCGTGTCGCGAGATTCTTCTCTCATTTTTTTCTCTCGATCGTGAGCCTGTACCTCGTCCAGCGCATCTCCAGCATTTGACCCTGCGATGGCCACCGCAAACCTCGCAGCAGGGCTGAGGAATCGGTCGCGGCTGCCGCTTGACATTGGCCTGCGAAGAAAGCGAGAGATTATCGCAAGAATGCGCGAGCGCGCTACCTCCGTCTTGACGATTAGCACGCGCTTGGGCAATGGCACCCACGGATTGCCCATCACCGTCCAGTCCCCAGCCATCGAATCTTGCCCAAATGAAGAACCCTAAATCTTAATCTTTTGGGCTTACTTTAGCCCTTAATTAGTCTTTCCTTTTACCCTTAAAGCTTTACAAAGCTTCCATCAATATAACACACCATTGCTTCTCCTTCTCTCCTTCGCAAGCCTCGAAAACCTTGGCTATGGTGGTGCCAAGCTTCGCGTCTCTCAATCCCTGGAGAAGCATCCTTCTCGCAAATCTAATGGCCTCTTCCACACGCCCGTTCTGCGAAAGCGCGCTCACGATCACGCTCCAGGACACAGCGTTCTTCACCGCGATCTTGTCGAAAGCCTCTCTCGCCTCCGCGCAGCAGCCACAGCTCCCATACATCTGGACAAGCGAGTTCCCGACGATGACGTTCGTATCGAGCTTCTTCTCCACGGCCTGGACGTGGATTTCTTTCCCCCGATCCAAGTCCCGGATGTTCGAGCAGGCCGCTAGAACAGCGACGTAAGTCACCTCGTTGGCTCTCGTCCCTGTCTCCTCCATCTTCCGGAACAGATCGATCGCCTCTCGAGCGCTGTCGTTGCGAGCACACGCCGTGATCATCGTCGTCCATGTCACGACGTTCTTCCTCCGGATCCCCTCGAAAACTCTCCTGGCATCGCCCAAGCTTCCACACCTCCCGTAAGAAGTGATGAGCGAGGTTGCGACGTCGGCGGAGCTGCTGCTGTATCCCAGATAGTAAGCCCGCCGGTCGAGCGAATTCACCTCCGGGAGGCTCGAGCAGGCACCGAGAGCCGCGGCTAGAGCGACGTGATCCGGCTTGATACCTTCCAAGTCCATTCTCCGGAAGATCACCAGTGCCTGCTTGAGCTGGCCGTGCCGAGAGAACGCCGAGAGCATGCTCGTCCAGAAGAGAAGACTATCGGATGGAACTCTTTCGAAGACGGCCTTTGCGCTGTCGAGACTTCCACACTTGCTATACATGTTGATCAGCCCGGCCCCGATGCTTTCGCTGGATTCAAGCCCGCTCACGACGACGTGACCATGGATCTCTCGTCCGTCTTCGAGCAAACCAGCCTTGGCACACGCAGCTAGAGCCGAAACATACGTGATCTCGGTCCTCTCCACGCCTACAAACTCCATCTTCCAGTAGAGCTCGAGCGCCTTCTTCGTGTAGCCGTTCTGGGAGTAAGCCGCCACCATCGAGTTCCACACCGCAGGGCTGCGGTGTTTCATCGAGTTGAAGACCCGCCTCGCGTCTTCCACACTTCCACACTGCCCATACATGCTGATGAGCGAAGTTCCCACGGCGTTTAGATCCAGCCCGAGCTCCTGGAGCTTCTCGTGGAGATTCTTCCCTTCTTCCAGCCCCTGGATCTTGGAGCAAGCACCGAAGATGGTGGCGAAAGTGATCCTGTCGCCCTCGAGACCCTGCTCGAGCATCTCCACGTAGAGCTCCACTGCCTGCTTGAGATGCCCGAGCTGGGCATAAGCTCCGATGATGGAGTTCCATGAAACCACGTCCCTCTTCTCCATGGTGTCAAACACCCAGCGCGCGTACTGGATGTTGCCACACTTGCCGTAGAGCGCGATGAGAGAGTTCTCGATCTTGGCGTTGAGCTCTAGATCCAGCTCCAGCACCGCGGAGTGGAGCTTCTCCCCTTCGGCCAGAGATTTCACCGCGCAGCACGCTCGCAGCAAGCTTATTATCGTCACTTCGTCCGGCTTGGTCCCTTCCAGCTGCATCCACCGGAAGATCCCCAGCGCCTGCCAGGAATCCCCATTCTCTACGTAGGCTGCGATCATGATGCTCCACGAGTAGAGATTTTTCTCGAGGATTCTGTCGAACACCGCGCGAGCGTCGTCCAAATGCCCGCATTTGCCATACATCTGGACTGTAAGATTTCCCAGAAACGTGCCCTGGTCCTGCTCCCTCTCCCGGAGCTGGGAGTGGATGCGCTTACCTTGCGCGAGGTTCCTCGTCCGGCTGCATTGCCGGAGAAGCTCCGAGTAGCGCGCGATCTCGATCTCGCCGAATTCCACATCCTCCGAGGCGGGAAGCGCAATCTCATGCTGATGCTGCTGCGCACGAATCGAATCGTAGAGGAATCCCCGGCGCTTGCCCTGGAAAAAACCGGCATTGGGCACGAAATACGCCATAGCCGGGAAGAACCCTAAAAAATCCGTTAAGTAAAGACGTCAACTTTACCCTAAACCGGCAGTAGAATTGGATAGCCTGAAGATCTTCGCCCCAGCGGCTGCTCCCTCTCACCAATGCCTTCCTCTTCCATCAGGGAGAGTGCACAGGGGTTTAGTAGCTCTCTCTTCCATGGCGCGCGTCGGCTCCGCGGTCCTGGAGCCAGAGGAAATCGGTGGCCTAGACGACGGCGATGATCTTCGCAGAAATCGTCGTCCTGGATCACCAGTTTCGAGCCCATGTCAAATACTGCGAGAATTAGGCCCGATAGAATCACAAGATCCAGCTCGTTTTCCATGGCAGGGAGATCACAGGGAGCTCCACGAAGTGGACGCGTGCCAAGGTCTGGCTGATCTGCGATGTTTCTATGGTGACTGGTGTTCTTAGCAGCAGATCGTTTAATCGTTGTTCTTGCCGCCTGAGTCAGTTGGTTTTCTCTTGCCAGTGGAAGGAGGGACAACTTGACTACACAAGCCACGAAGAATGTGGGGTAGAAATACTGAATGTTTTGGTACGCAGCTTAAGCATATAGGATATAATTCTCATATCAAGCAACAAGCTGTGAGTCCTGGCAGAGCAGCTTTCAGGCCTAAGGTCCTAGGTCTACGTGCACTGTGTGTTCCAGTGTGGAACTGACCTTAGTACGGAAAGAGCAAAGTTAATTTGCAGGCGGAACAGAAACGCAACGCCTCGGGAGGCTCGTAGGCCAATGGAGGCGAATCGTAGATAGGAGACTTGAGAGTTGCATAGAGTTTGACAAATTGGAAAACTTCCCCAAAAGGAAAAAGATTATACTAAACGAATTGAAGGTTTGTATCTACAAAAACAGCAACAAAGCTCTTAGGTGTTTATGCGCGATGAGGAGATATGAACAAAGCTGTCAGTGCGGTCAATCTCATGCCAGCAAGAGATGCTGTCGCGTCGACTGTGCTGCTGCGAGGATTTGTGGAGCTCAACGTGATCAGCGAAGCGGAGGGCGTCTTCCAGGCGGTGCCGGATAAAGACATCCATGCACACACAGTTCTTGTCATGGCTTCTGCTGAGGTGGGATCGGCTACTAGCTTGCAAATGGAGGAGGCCAGCAAGGCGGTTCTCATGGAAAAGGAATCCTATAGCGTGGAATGCGTTGATTTAGCAAATGCTAGGCAAGGGGATCTGCAGTATGCGCTGAAGCTGTTCGAGTCTATGCAGCTCTATGGCGTAAATCCAGATGGTGCCACCATGGTATGTCTTCTGCAGGCTTGCAGCCACAGACTTGATGTGCAAACAGGGCGTGAAGTCTTCAGAAGAAGTTCGGACTGTGCCATTCCAGCAGAAATACTGCTGCATGGTTGATTTGCTCGCAAGAGCTGGCCATCTGGATGACGCCGAGGAATTGGTTTGTGCAATGCCTTTTTATTCCCTCTGCTGCAGAATGGAACGCTCTTCTAGGGGCATGCAGAAGCCAGGGCGATGGAAACGTACGCAGAGCAGAAAGAGTAGCGAAGAAAGCAATGGAGTTAAACAACGAGGCTTCCTACGTCCTTATGGGAAACATCTACTCGGGCAGCAAGAATGACCAGGTAGATATTGATATGGCTCTGGAATCTCTTAGGGAGAAAATGAGAGAACAAGGTCTAACGAGAAAGCCTGCAATAACCGTCGTCACTGTCGGGAAGGAAACTCATAGGCTTATGATGGACGACAAGAGTCACCCCAATATCCAAGAAATTAGCGCAGAATTGGCAACGTTAACCAGACTACTTAAAAATGAAGGGTATGTTCCCAGAATTGATCTTGTATTCAGTGGGAAGGAAGAGGTTCTGGCGGAAATGGCTCTGGCCAAGCACAGCGAGAAACTGGCTTTAGCCTGTGGTATCCTTTACTCCAAGGAAGCAGCAGGGGCGCACATCAGGATTAAAAACAACCTTCGGATGTGTGCAGATTGCCATCAGATGATGTGTCTTGCTAGCAAGATTTATGATGGCAGGAAAATTACTGTGAAGGATGCTAGCCGAGTCCATTGTTTTGAACAAGGCGTTTGTTCCTGCGAGAACAACTGGTGAATCGACAAGAGAGTAAAAAAAAGAGGAAAACAAAATATAAAGAAAAGAAAAATAATGTTTTTTTACTTCTAATATAACAAAAAACGAATTTATTTTTGTGTTCCTAATACGATTCTATTGGGGCATGTCTCATCGTGTGGTCTCAGAGACTATCGTCCCTTTCGGTAAGCACAAAGGTAAGTCGCTCATAGATGTTGAGGAGAAGTATCTTGAATGGATGGCACAAGCATTTCCACCGACTTCCAAATGGGGGAAACTTGCAAAGCTGGCCCTAGATCATCATCGTCAAACTTCTTCAAGCAATAAACTAGGAGATGTGGTCCTCCATTTTGGGAAGCACAAAGGGAAGGCACTGAAAGAGGTTCCCAAGTCGTACTTAAGTTGGATGGCTGTCAAGATGGCTGGTGAGAATGTGGGCGTTACGGCGCAAAGATTTCTTGATGGATGCAACATGAACATCATCCCTGATTTGGCTCCAGATGAGAGACAACAAATGTTCCGTTCTACTGGTTTGATCCAGAAGATGGGGTCTACTGGTGAAGTGAAACAAGCCAAAGCTTTGTTTGATGATATGCCTCAGACAGATGCAGCAGCCTGGAATGCCATGATCACTTGTTATGGCCAGAATGGATACATTGCAGAAGCAAAGGAGTGTTTTGATGCAATGCCCTGTGACAAAACCAAGTTTTCATGGTTTGCACTATTTGGGGCTTATTATCGCAAAGATTTGGTGGAGGAAGCAACTGAACTGTTTCACCAGATGCCACGGAGAGACCAAATGGTATGGATCACTCTGCTTCGGCTTCATTCACAGAAGCTTGACATGTTGAAAAAGATCTTCCAGATGATGCCGTTTCACGATTTAACGTCGTCTACTTTGATTCTGAGCACTTATTCCAGCCACGAATACTATGAAGAAGCTAAAAATTTGTTCGACAAAATGCCAGAAAGAGATTCGGTATCTTGGAATGCAATGCTTGCAGCATATGCCAATTCAGGGCATGGTTCTGAAGCACATGAGCTGTTCAAACTGGCCCCGCACTGGAACAGAAGCATTTGCCTTTCTATAATAAAGGTCTACGCAGAAGACTACATGCTTCAAAATGCAGAGAGCTTGTTCCACTCAATGCTGCAGCGCGACATAGTCTCATGGACCAAGTTCATGGATGTTTGTGCTCGATGTGGTGATATGGAGAAAGCAAATGAAGTCTTCAGATTAATGCCTGCCACAGACATTGTAGCATGGACAGTGATGCTGGGAGGTTATGCCGGACGGAACATGCTGAATGAAGCAAAGCTAATCTTTGACGAAATGCCTGAGAGGGACACGCATGCCTATACTATATTCCTCATGGCCTGTGCTGAAGAAAGTGGGAATGTGAAGGAGAAGGATATGGAAGCCTTCATGGATATGGCTGAAGCGGATACAGTTGCGTGGAATTCTCTGCTTGCAGCAAATGCCAGGGATGGCCAGTTGCAACATGTAGCGAAGGTGTTCGAGTCAATGCAGTTACAGGGCGCAAGTGCAGACAGTATTTCCTTTGTGTGCATCCTACAAGCTTGTAGTCACAATGCCAAGGTGCAATTGGGACGCGATTTCTTCAGAAGTATGGGTTTGGATTACAGCATTGGAGCGGAAAGGAAACACTATTGCTGCATGGTTGACTTGCTTGCCAGATCTGGGCATTTGGACGATGCAGAAGAATTGATATCCAGCATGCCTTTTCATCCTTCGGCTGCGGAATGGAATGCTCTTCTAGGTGCATGCAGGAACCAGAAGAAAGAAGGCTCAGGTCGAGCGGAAAGAGCAGCAAAACATCTAATGGAGCTCAGAAATGAGGCATCTTATGTGCTCTTAGGCAATGTCTATGCAAATAGGCATGTTGACTTGGATGACTGCAATTCCCACCCAGTCGACGTAGACATGGCTCTTGAGTCTTTGAGGGAGAGCATGAGACAACGGGGTTTTAGGAGGAAACCAGGGATAAGTACCGTCAACTTTGGTAAAGGGACATACACTTTTGTGGTTGGTGATAATCACCCTGAGATTAATGCAGAGCTTGAAAGGTTGACCGGGCTGTTAAGAGCAGCGGGTTATAAGCTAAAGACTGAAGTTTCGTTTTATGGTGGTGATCAGAAAGAGAAAGAAGAGCTCCTTTGTCGACATAGTGAAAAACTAGCACTTGCCTTTGGGCTGCTGTCCACTCAAGAAGGGGGGGATGAAATTATACGGATAACAAAGAACTTGAGAATGTGTTATGACTGCCATGATGCTACTAGGGTGATATCTGGATTGGTGAAAAGAAAGATCGTTGTAAAAGATGCTAATAGGTTGCATAGATTTGAGAATGGCATGTGCTCCTGTGGTGATTTTTGGTAACTTGAGAGTACAAGATTAAAGGCCAGAAGGAATTCAGTACTGTCTGAACCCAGGTTCGAACTGGGGACCTCTAGTGTGTGAGACTAGCGTGATAACCAACTACACCATCCAGACATGATATATAGGTGTACAGTTACACAATAAATAATTGTTAAAAACTTAACAAACTTAAGTAGTTCTTTAGCAGCATATTATTTGAATAAATTCATTTCTCCTCAACAATACTACAACATTCGTTGCACTATGCAAACCCATTTAGTTTGCTTTGTAAAAGTAATATTTTTTTGTTATTAATGCTATCTAGAATATTATAAATACAATAGAATTGGGTATTTTTATGGCTAAAAACTATTATGAATTGAAGAATTTATTAATTTTATGTAAGAATTTATAATATCCTAAAATTGATAATATAATTTGTTTTAAATTATTAAGTTCTTATTTTAAGTATAAAATAACTGAGAACATAATTAAATTCTTAAATATAAAGAAATATCCTATACTATGCAGTATGCTCTCTAAGGACCATATTTTATTAGTGATAAATAACTGTTAAACCTTAACTAACAGCAAAACCATTAGGAATATCTTAAAATATACTTGAATATTTTAGGTACCTTATGCTAAAGCAAACCAAACATAACTAACTATTTAATAGAAGTGAATTTATTCTTCTATATATATAATGATAGTAACCTAAATCACTATATTTTTTATTAAAATATTGTTTAATTTATATAAGAATTAGAATATATAAGTATATTCTATGATATCAAATGAATGATTGTGATTTTCTACAATTATATATTGTTTACTTTATTTATAATTTTTTCCCCACTTAATAATAACAAATAAAAGTTTTTAAACTATCCAGAATTGTAGTTGTTAATCCTTTAGATCTTTATAAACCACTAGGAAAAATTACCCACCTACATAAACTCTAAACTTTAAAGTTAAGTTATTAAACTTATAAAAATAACATTATTGAGTTTTATAATTTTACACTCAATTGTTTTTCTATAATCTAGAGGGTATGAAGATTCATTAATTTAAATTTAAATTTAATTTATTTAGGATTGATAGGTTGATAGTTAAGAATTAAAAACTTAAAGTGAATTAGAATTATTCAAAAACTAAAGATTTTTATAATAATTTTCATTAAAAAATCCTAATTGAGGAAAAAGCTCTCATTTAGAGAAGGAAAAAGTTTATAATAATGATTCCCTACCATTTGTCATATTGTATTAAGGCCTCAATCTTAATAATTACTAGCCTTGTTATAATAAAAAGTATATTAGAATATACATCTAAAGACAAACTATTATGAAAATTGCTAAAATGTTTTAAAACTAGATTAAATAATTTTCTTCTCAGCATAAAAAATTACTTTATATAGTATTATATTATTCTTATTTTTTTTAAAATAAAATATTTGCTACATATGTTTAAAAAAAACTTATAAATTTGAGTATAGGCAAATTAATATTCACTTTGGCAAACACCAAAATAAATCCATCTTCAATAATAAAATAAAGTAAAAACATTTTTATTTTTAAATATTCTTACCTTTAATTTAAATATGTTTTTTATAGTTTAACTAATTAATAGGTTAAGGTATTTTAAGTTATATAAAAATAATAAAAGAAATTTTATTAGAGATTTTTTTTAAATACATAATTTTAAGATTAATTTTACTTTATAGTTATAATAATTTGTTATGCTGCAAAAATATTTAGTTTACTTTTAAAAACTAGGGTGAAGTGTAACAAAAAGTGTGAATAATCAAACTAGTAGGTAAGAGATGTAAACCAAACAAACAAATGGGTAAATGAGATTATAAATGACACACAAGAAAGTATAAAAATGACAAACAAAACAAAAAATGCATTAATAAAAAAAACAAAAGAAAATTTGTATGCCATATCATTACTATATATACAGAAAATGTAAATTTAAATAGTGTTTAATAAGAAGTACTTTAACTAAATGTAATTATGCTATGGTTCAAAATGTTTTATAATTTAAAAGAAACTAAAAGATGTAGATGTCTCTTGCTAATCTAGAGTATAGTATTACAAGTAATTCATAACTGGAACCTACAAAGTTACTGAAAAAGAAAAAAAAAGAAGAAGGAAATATGTATCTACCACCAGCTAAATATATTTTATAGTAGAAAAAGAAGTTTAAAAGCGAAAAATCACAACCGTTAGATTAAGGTATATCCTAAAATATACCTGGAGATTCGTAATATATTCCCAAAAATAAAATACTAACGAAAAGTTTAAATAAACACATTTCTCTAAAATAAAACTCCAGTAAAAATGTCATTAAGAAGGAAGAACCCGACCGTTATAGCAAACCCTGATCTTAGGGTTCATCCGAGCAGTGGATCCGCGACGATGAGCAGTGGGCGCGGCAGCTACTTCCCGAAATGCAGGAAGGACGCGCAATGCAAGTGCTCGATGTGTGTGGATAGCTTGAATGCTACTCGAGATCTTCGCCCCAGCGGCTCCTCTTCTAGGCGAGGAATGCTTGGGCCTCTCAGAAATGCCCTCAGCAGAGCATTTGGATCCCCTCTTCCTTCACCTGGAGATCACAGGTTTAGTAGCCCCTCCCTCTTCGATTTCTCCTCTCCGAGTGTTTCTTCCACGGCGCGCGGCGGCTCCGCGGTCCTGGAGCCAGTCTTTGAAGAGATTGCGGCAGAGAAATCGGTGGCCTCCTCGAAGAGGGATTCCTTCCCCAGATCTAGACGGAGATGGCTCCTCTGGGTGTTGGCGGTGGCCACGGCAGTGACGATCTTCGCAGAAATCGTTGCGCCGGTGATCCTGGCTCGCCAATTTCGAGCCCATCTCAGCCCTGGAGCAGTGATCGAAATGGCCACCGCGTCGAGAGCTAGAATCAGGCCCGCGGACAGGATAGGATTCCTCCAGCACAGGATCCAGCGCGTGTTTCGTGGCAAGGAGATCTCCAATTGCACAGGGAGCTCCACGAAGTGGACGCTTGCCGAGGTAGACCTCCCTCCTCTCCTTTTGGAAAGCTCTTTTGATCTGCGATGCTTCCACAGGATGGAGCATTGATCCACTCGAGATGCCGCCTCTACTCGTCCCCCGCGGAAGAGCTCTCCATCTGGGGCTACCCGATCGTCACAGCCGGTGTTCTTGGCAGGAGACCCGCGGATCGTTTAATGTTTGTTCTTGCCGGCCGAGTGATCGAGGTACTGCTTTGCTTCCTTCCCTTCTTTTATGATCGATCCATGGTTTTCTCTTGCCAGTGGAAGGAGGGACAACTTGACTACACGATCCACGAAGAAGGCGAGTGGTGGAACCACCATCGCTGGGCAGCCTCGGTGATCCATCTCGACAAAAACACTTGGATCGTGCAGTACAGCGCTGGAAGCTTTGATGCGGGGAGTTTTCTTGCGGGCGCTGGTTACATGACGAAGAGGATCGTCAATTCCTGTTTAAAGTATCGCTTCACGTTTCCTTCCACTGTATTGACAATTCCAACGTAGAAGATTTTACACCTTGTAAAGTTGACGTTAAGTTCTCTTTACATCAAATCTCGTTTCATACGACAACAACATCAATGTTTCTATCCCCGCTTCTTGCTCCAGTGCTTGAGTTATGTCCTTCGCTCCAGCAATTCTCTGGAGCAAATCACCCACAAGATTGAGCTCCTGATCTTTGTGACCCCTTTTGTTCTTGAATGCTCAAATCAAAATCCCATTCTGGGACTGATAGCAAAAGGAGTCGTCACTGTGTGCTTGAGATCTTGCTCTAGTCAAGGGAGATCCTTACCACCTTCTTCCCTTTAGGATGGGTCGTTTTGATCATTTTCTTTTCTGTGCTCTTGGGGGAGCAAGAATCTCTGTAAAGGTGATGCATGTCAGTTGGGTTTAGTCTGTATAAGATCTTGTCGATGTAGATTTTGTGCCTCTGTGAAGATCAAAATCTCGTACAAACTGTTCAATCTCTTCCAAGAATTTATCCAAGCCAGGCCTCTTGGCGACTAGAAAGCGTTCAAGCGGAATGACTCTCCCACTAAAAAGCTTCAACGTGATCATTGTGGTTGGAGATGCCAGAGGGGATATGGCAGCTGCAGCTAGAGCTAAAACACAACACCAGATGCTGCTGCAATCTCCTGTTGCAAATCGCAGCTGAATAAGTTGTTTCGCTCTCTCGTTTTCAATAATTAATGTAAGTGTGGTTGAAAGTTCTATGCTGGAACTCTGAGATTTTCAGCAAGGAAATTGGATGACTAGTCTTGACCAAGTTGCCGTGCTCGCAAGAGAAGTGAACGTTTCAGGTGCACTAGGAAATCTTTCCATTTGGTTACTTTAACTAGTGGTAATTGGATGCAAAGGCCAACCAGGTCTTGATCAAGTCCCAAGAAACTGTGGTCAACGATTATCGGTGGCCTGTGGCTCCTTGAAGAGGGTTTCCTTCTTCTCTAGATGTCCTCTGGTGGTGATCTTTTTATCGTCGCCTGGCACATCAAACTTGAGCCTATCTCAGCCATGGAGCAGTGCTCGAAATACCAACAGAGTTTAGAGCTAGTGGACTCATGCCAAAGTAGATCTCATCTGCAGTTCCATAGGATGGAGCATTGATCATTCGAAATGCCCCATGTATTTGTCCACGGCTCTCCATTTCAGGCTCTGTCACTGCCACTGTTCTTGGCACAGATCGTTTGATGTTTGTTCTTGCCAGTAAAGTACCTTACTGTGTTATATCTTCCCTTAGAGGGACAATAGGGTTCATAAAGAAAGTGGGTGGTCTATCTTGAGAAAACTTTAGATTTGCAAGTTGTTTTCATTTCAAATGGTAAATAAATAAAATTAATGTTAAATTAAAACACTAAGTAATTAAATAAATTTTTTAAATATTTTTTAAAATTAAAAAAGTATGATATGCTAATTAATGTTGAAAGAAGCATTTTCACATAAATATTTTACTTTAAACATTTCTATAATACATATAAATTTATCATATGTTAAAATA